GAACTCTATGGAACGGAAAGCGGGTGTGCGTTCCCGATAACAGAGAACTTAAACAGCTGATACTTCAGGAAGCTCACGAAAGTCCTTATTCCATTCACCCGGGCAGTACCAAGATGTACTTAGACTTGAAGGAGAAATACTGGTGGGTCAGCATGAAGCGGGAAATTGCAGAGTTTGTGGCTCTATGTGATGTGTGCCAGCGTGTCAAGGCAGAACACCAACGACCGGCCGGACTTCTCCAACCTCTCCAAGTGCCGGAATGGAAATGGGATGAAATTGGGATGGATTTCATCACCGGACTTCCAAAAACCCAAGGAGGATATGATTCCATATGGGTAGTTGTGGATCGATTAACCAAGGTAGCTCGATTCATTCCTGTGAAGACCACCTATGGAGGGAACAAACTAGCGGAGCTCTACTTCGCTAGGATCGTGAGTCTCCATGGTATTCCCAAGAAAATCGTATCTGATAGGGGAAGCCAATTCACCTCTCACTTTTGGAAGAAGCTCCAAGAAGAGCTGGGTACTCGATTGAATTTCAGCACCGCGTATCACCCGCAGACAGATGGACAGACCGAGCGTCTGAATCAGATTCTAGAAGATATGCTCCGCGCATGTGTCCTAGATTTCGGGAAGACTTGGGATAAGAGTCTCCCCTATGCCGAGTTCTCCTACAATAACAGCTATCAAGCCAGCATACAAATGGCACCCTATGAAGCGTTGTACGGGCGCAAATGCCGGACACCGCTATTGTGGGACCAAGTCGGAGAAAGCCAAGTGTTCGGGACTGATATCCTGAGAGAAGCTGAAGCTAAAGTCAGAATCATTCGGGATAATCTAAAGGTGGCACAATCTCGGCAGAAAAGTTATGCAGATAACCGTCGTCGTGACTTGGAATTCGCAGTGGATGATTTTGTGTACCTTCGGGTCACGCCATTGCGAGGCGTGCACAGGTTTCAGACGAAAGGGAAGCTCGCACCTCGGTATGTGGGTCCCTTCCGTATCATCGCTCGACGCGGAGAAGTTGCTTACCAGCTGGAGTTGCCCGCCTCCTTGGGCAACGTGCATGATGTGTTCCATGTGTCGCAACTCAAGAAATGTCTCCGAGTGCCATCCGAGCAGGCCAACTCAGAGCAAATTGAAGTCCGCGAAGACCTGACCTATGTGGAGAGGCCAGTGAAAATCCTGGACACCATGGAGCGCAGGACCAGGAACCGAGTAATCCGTTTTTGCAAGGTCCAGTGGAGCAACCACGCCGAAGAAGAAGCTACTTGGGAGCGCGAAGACGAGCTGAAGGCAGCCCATCCTGATCTCTTCGCCAGTTCTTCCGAATCTCGGGGTCGAGATTCCGTTTAAGGGGGGTAGGTTTGTCGCGTCCCAAATCGACTCTAAAATCTATCCTCGAAATTGTGCAAAAGAATAATTAAAATTCAATGTGAAAGCCTCCAACAATTAAAATGTGCAAAGATGAAAGTCAAATGAGGCTTGGAGGATTTTTGTATATTTCCTAAAAGCCTAAAATGCTTAAATAAATTTTAGTGGAATTTTCAGAGCACAAATAATAATAGAAAAGAAATAAACAAAGTGGAAAAGGTTTTATAAAAAGAAAACCCTAAAAAAAGTTCGCTTCCCCCCCCCTTTTCCCTCTTGGGCCGGCTCGGCCCATTCCCTCCCTCTCTCTCTCCTCTCCCGCGGCCCATCGGCTCCCCGCGCGCGCGCGCCGCTGACAGGCGGGCCCGCCCGCCGCTCTCGCTGACGGGTGGGTCCCACCTGTCATCTTCCTCCTCCCGCCGCTTCCGCCGCCGCGCCCGTGCCCTAGCGCCGCCGCCGCCGCGAATCCCGCCGCTCCCGTCCGCCCCGCGTGCAATCAAGAGGGGGGATTTACTCCCCGCGTTTCCCTCCCCCGTTTCCCCCTCTTTCCCCTCTCTCTCTCCCTCGGATTCGTTCGAATCAAGCCCGTAATCGTCGCCGGCGCAATCAATGGCGGCCGAGATCCCCGCGCCCGTTTCCTCTCTCTCCGGCCGCTCTTTCCTTCCTCCGGCGCTATTTAAACCCTCCCCGAGCTCCGCCCTTCCGTTTCCGCCGCTCACCGCTCGCTCTCGCCGTCGGAATCGTGCTCGCGCCGCTTTTCCTTCTCTCCGCCGTCGCCGACGAGTTCCGTTCCGCCGCCGCCGCCGCTCCGGTTCTCCTCCCGGCTCGGCGACCCCTCCTTCGGCATCGCCGCATCGCCGCCGACCCCGTCCGCCGCTCCGCTTCGTCCGCCGACCGCCGGAGCACCGTCGTCATCGTCTTCCCGAGCCGCGCCGCCGTCTTCCTCCGCTCCGTCCGCCGTTTCCGCCGCCTTCGCTGTCTCGGGGTGAGCCGTGGACCGTCCCCTTCGCCTTCCCCCTTCCCTCCTCTCTCTCGGGCGCCGCTCCGCCGCGCCGGTGGTCGCCGGCGGTGACCATCGGGGCGCGGGCGCGCCGCTCCCGTCGGCCGCGCCGGCGAGGCCGCCCTCGGGCGCGCCCTCGCGGCTGCCAAGTGGGCCCGGCCGTCAGCCGCCCGCGCCCGCGGGTGCGGCTGACGCGCGGGACCCACGGCGCCGACCGCCGCCAGCCGCGTGCGCCCGGTCCACCGTGGACCGAGCGGCTGACGCGTGGGCCCCACTTCCCGTGGACCCGGTCCGCGCGCCCGCCCCTCGGCTGACGCAATAAATGGAATTTTTAATTGAAAATTAAATGAAGAAATTCGCAAATATCCATTTAAAGAGCATATAAACTTCAAATGGCCATATCTTGGCCATTTGAACTCGGAATTGGACCGTTCAAGTCTCTAATTTCTCCTTAAGATGTAAAGAACCCATTTTTGTGCTTTGTTTCTGCTGTTATGTGGAGTTATTTAGTGTTAAAGCCTTTTTCTTTTCCGTTGGTCGTGTAGACGCTGCAGCTTCGGAAGATCCGCTCTTCGTTGAAGTCGAAGCCGTCGATTGGGAAAACGAGCAAGGCAAGACACATCATCTTGATCATATTGAATCCCAGTTTACAAAATTATGTTGATTTAAATTATTGCATTATCGCTTTATTTAAATTCCCGCGTTATCACTGTTTTATTTAGCCATGCCTATTTACCTTTGTTATGACCATATTATTATTGTTATTGTTATTATTACTACCTTGTTCACCCTAGACAAACAAAACCTCAACTAGTGGACACTCTACTCATAGTACCACTAGTATAATTCTAGGTAGATGCTTCGCAAGTTAATTAGGCAACATTAGGTGGTTTTACAACTCTAGACTTGGGAAATTCTCATATCACTTGGACACTCTGGAATTGTTGGATTATTGTGGAATTGGCTTCACACCGCCCCCTCTATTCAAAATTCCCTAAAATGGTTTTAGGCTGGGCTCGGGGTGCATGGTTTGGATGGTAGCACCTTGGCCGTTTAAGGACCGGTCTTCGGGCCTCTGTTGCAAAGCACTACCGTACTTCCACATGTCTAGTGGGTAAGGCTTAGTTTGTGGCTCAGTCTAGTCATAAACAAAAGTACACGGATTGGAGATGGATGAAGTCGGGGGTCGATGGACATTCTCCAGGGCAAATGAAGGCTACACGAGCTGCGGCCCGGTAGTCGAGATGTCAAAAAGCACAGGGTTGGTGCCCTGCTGCGAGGGGCTCAGTTCCGTCTGCCTGTCCCGGGGGTTCCGGCCGTAGGCGGAATTGGGTCGGTACTCTTGTCTAAGGCTAGGATGGGTTGGAAACTATGTCACGTCTTCCGTCTGTATACCGTGGTGGTATGTGGCACGTGGTAACACGTGAGGAAGCCGTGTCTTGTGGGTAAAGATGTACACCTCTGATCAGAGTATAATCTATTCGAATAGCCGAGCCCTCGGATATGGGCAAGCCGAGCAATGTACCCAAGTTAGTGTTTTAATTCTTAAAACTTGCTTAACAACTAAAATATGGAATGGTTGGCCTGGGTTGGCTTAGGACGAGCTGGGACCCAGGGTCGGGTTGCCAGTTCGGTCTGAATCATCATAGGCCTTGGGTTAAGGCAGGTTCGTGTGGGTTCACGGCCTTGATTAATAATATTGTATAGTTCTAGCTTCGTGTTTACAAAATAGCCTTGAGCAACTAAATTCCTTTAAATGCTGTTTACTGCAACCCTAACCCTTTATATTATAATTCCTTTGTACTCCCTTGCATTTATTCTGCATTTGTGGGTGTGTCTTGTTGAGTACGGTGGTTGTACTCAGTCTTGCTTAATTTTCCCAAGCCCAGATGAGGAGTTCCCTGAAGATGAAGGCTTTGGTGTCTAGCTCGTGCCTGCCGTCAAGCGCCTGTGGTCGTCGCCCTAGTCTTCCGCTGTCTTTCGTTGTCTTTGAGTGTGCTGGGCCTTCGTTGCCCGTGTAATAATTTTATATACGCTTCCGCTTGTTAAACTCTGTATTGTATCAACTTTTGGTGTACCTTGCCTCCTGGGACAAGGAATAATACACGCACGTCAGGAACGCCCGTTGGGTGATTTCCGGTCGTGACATCCATGGTGCGTCATAGATCTATGGGCTGGGATGGTGGATCGATTCAGATCAGGAAAAAAAAAGGAAAAAATGAAGTGGGGGTGAGAGTGGTTGGTTGGGTACAGGAAAAATATAATATATACCAGAAGCAAAGAAGTTGTTTTTATCGAAGTAAATCATTTACTCCATTAGTGGTGGGAGCGGGATGACAGGACGTGTGGTGGGATCGGAAGCAGGGAAGTTGTTTTTATCGAAGTAAATCATTTACTCTGATAATGGTGGGAGCAGGATGATGGGACGTGAGGTGAGGTAGGCCTTGGCTGATATATGTTTGGCGCTCGGAATACTAGAAGCTCCTAGTAGTATCTCTATAATAAGATGTTTTAAAAAATCAATGGTCAACAATACAAATATTTAATTTAGGACAAAATTAAATTGAAACTGAGGGAATACATAGAACGAAATTAATGTGATTTGGAGAAGTGGTTTCCTTTATATGAAGAGGATTATGTCTTGCAGATGCATTCAGGAGATTCAAAGGAGAGGATGGCAGGTTCATCAATACTGGAATAGCTGATGAACCGAGGGGGTTATTAAGTTTATATAATGCAGCACATCTCCTCATCCATGATGAGCCGGAACTTGAAGAAGCAATCTCTCTTGCAAGACACCATCTTGAATTAATGAGGGGTGGAGGTGGGCTCAAACCCCCTCTAGCTGATCAAATCAACCGTGCCCTAGATTTACCATTACCAAGAGCCTACAAGAGAATAGAAACATTGCATTATATGCTGGAGTATGGGCAGGAAGAAGGGCACAATGTGGATCTTCTGGATCTTGCAAAGCTAGAATTTAACCTGCTGCAGCATGTCCACTTGAAGGAGCTCAGAAATTTTTCTCAGTAAGCATGTGTTTATTTGTTGTACGGGGTATATATATATATATATATATATATATATCATCTAAGTAAATGGATATGATAAAAGTAATTAACTCTGCGCTTTCAAAAAGTAGCTAATCATGATAATAATATCAAATGATATGCATGTCTCAATGATGTTCTACTTTGGTATTACCAGAAAAACCTTGTTTTGGCAATTCATCTAAACAATCAGCCGTTATAAAGTCTACTGGCCCTGCATAGAGCTGGTATACAAATATTTTTTATGGAATATTTGTATACGATCGATGGACAGTTTGTTCAAATGGTCTCTATTGGTAGTAGAATCGATATCTAGACTGCCCATCGATCGTTTATGTTCCAACAGTTTGTATCTATTTATACTGCCATCTCAACTACTAAGTAGTTCTATAATATGTTTTATACTGGTATTAAAACTGACAAATTAACGGTTGCTATCACTCCACTAGTGATAATACTAGTATAGTAGTAGAGACCACCGTAAAGGTATTCTCAGTGAAATGGATCTTCACATTGGTAGTATTTTAGGTCTGCTTGATAGGTATACACGTCCACATTATTACTATCATAACTAAACACAATGCTACTCTATCTTAAATACAGTATTAAACATGCACCTGAATCACTTAATTTTCAGGTGGTGGAAAAATATCTATGGATATGTGCAACTAAGTTACGCCAGGGATCGTGCGGTGGAAAGTTACCTTTGGTCCTATGTCGTGTTCTACGAGAAAGATTTAGTGCTTTCACGGATGATCTTTGCGAAGATATTTGCACTGCTTGTAACTATGGATGACACGTATGATGACTATGCCACCATCGAGGAAAGCAGGAAGCTGAATGAAGCGATACAAAGGTTGGATTAATATGAAAAAAAAACAGGGCAAATATCCTTGAGATGAAACCACCTGTGCGGTAGTATTGCGAAAACCACTCCACAACCGCAAACTATACTTACAAGTTTCCAAAAGTTCCCAAACAAATTCTCTCAAAAAACCTGAGTTACGAATACTTTTTTGTCAAGTTGGTGAGACAATATTTTTTAAAAAATATGTAAATTTCAAGATCTTGACCAATTTGGTTCAAAAAATTACAAAATTTGGAGGTTTGAAAAGCTTTGGAAAACAAAAATAAATCAACATCCAACTGTTTTATACACCTCTTCATTCTTCTATTTGTCAATCGATAAAACTGAATCAATTACAATTCTTGTATTTTACATTATTGTTTGATATGCAAAGTAAATTTTTTGAAGGTTTTATGTATATTGTATCTTTCGTGATGTGCCAAAAACTGACAGGGAAATAGGAAAAACCTTTATGTTCTTGTCGGTTTTTACCATCTGGCTCATCACGATTTGCATCATAGCACTTCTAATTCTATACCTGATTTTTTCTGAAGTACCACATGCAAGGATCAGGAAGAACAACCTATGCATACACACTAGTATCATGGCTCATGAAATCGAAAAGGCAAACATTAAGTAAGAGATGTGCAACTATGTGATACAGGCACCCTTGAGGGTTAGGGTTTGAACCATGAAATTTGTCCATTGTTTCGCCACTAAAAAATAAAAAGAGGCAACATTGATGCCACCATCATTATCCTTGTTACCGTCTTTTCTCAAGTAATAGATGAACCAACAATTTGCAAGATGTTGACACACCGTTTAGAGCTATAATTTAGAAATCATTTGTCCAAGAGTTTATATTTTTATAGTACAAGCCATTATAAGGGTGTATTTGGTTCCCAGTAAAGATTAGATATGATATGGCCATTCATATTTTCAAAGATATAGTTCATGATTCAATTTTTTATCTAGTTGGATGGATGGGATGATCCACTTTCTTTCTTAGATGGACGAGGATGGATTGAATGAAAACAATGATCTATTATTAACAATAAAATATGTTAATTCATTAGTATTAACATAATTTTTACTAATTAAGAAAAAAAAGAATAATTATATATAATCAACTCTAACCTTGATAAGTTAATTATCACTAATCAGTTAGTAATTTTTATCAAGATTAGCAAGGGACATTATCCTCAATCCGTCAATTTTGCAGGATGAGATCATTCAACATATTCGTCGAATGTTCCGTCTCACAGCCTCCGTGTTCACTACTGCCCACTCACTATAAACGTGCACAAAATTTGCCACCCTTCCATTTAAATATAATTTAATGTGTTCCCTTTTTTGCTTAGTGGCCGTTACAACCTGATACCTCCCTACCAAACCAATGTGCTTATGCTTGCCAATTGCCAAAGTAATTTCATGCAAATTGCCAATTTGCTTATTGGACAGCTGGGATGAAAGTGCTATATCTTTACTACCAGAGTACATGACAAAGTTCTACAATACATTGCTGAACAACTTCAAGGAGTTTGAGGCTCAAGTAGATGTCAGTGGTCAGTACAGGGTTCTGCGCATAAAAAAAGAGGTATACCTATTATATGTACTTTGTTGGTCCACAATTATTTCAAGTGTTTTGATTTGTCCAAGAAATTACACATTGACCATGAATAGTTCATAAAAAATATATTTTTGATAGCTTCAAAACAATCATCATATCAATAATATTTGTCGCATGAATCAATTGGTATAATGTTTTCACATCAGTTTATATATATATATATATATATATATATATATATATATATATATATATATAAAAGTAAATAATGGCCGAAATTTGTGATGTTTGATTTTTTTAATGTAGATGCACACTGTACATAAGTGGGTGGTTGGATGGAGTACTAGTTCATTATAATTCTTAGCACACATTTATATAACAGATAGTTAAAGTACTGAAGTACCTACGTTTTGACTTGTAGTTTCCATCAAACTAATTTTTTTTTTGATTGTATAAGTATTTTGACTATGGCTTGTCCAAATCGACAATTAGCATGCCTGGATCATGTACCTTTGTGTTGAGTACTTTCGTAGTGCAGCCGAACAACAATATTGCAAAATTTGTATGACTAATTAATTTTATTCACATGCGTGTAGTTCCAAAAGTTATCTGCATATTATCTCCAAGAAGCTGAATGGTCTCATCAAAATTACAAGCCAAGCTTTAAGGAGCAGGTGGCTTTGTCTACTTTATCATCATCAATGCCACTACTTTGTGCAATTACTACAGTTGGCCAGGATGATGTAGTAACGCGGGAAGCATTTGAGTTGGCAACACAACATAATAGTGCAGTATTAGCTTGTGGAAAGATATTACGCTTCATGAACGACATCGCTGCATTCAAGGTACAAATGAGTAACTCAACTGGGCTTAATTTGAGTACATGCCTTGTACTTCCCTGATTTCTCTTGCGGCTGAATTTTTCCATATCCATCATATACACACTAGCAAAATGCAGCCTACCTAGTAAAGGATATTGATATCATACTACTTAATTATCTCTTCACCAATATTAATTTAATGGTGGATAGTTTAATTTGTCACATAATGCTAGCTACCTGCAGAACATTGAAACAAGGAATTCCAAGAAAACCTAGATATGTATAATGTAACTGAATCATATTTCTCTTTCACAAACATGCAGTCTGGAAGAAAGAACAAGGGAGATGCCACAAGCACCGTGGAGTGCTACATGAATGAGCACAAGGTAACAGGCGAGGAAGCCATAGCCAGAATCGATTCAATAATAGAAGATGAATGGAAAACCCTAAATGAAGTTCGGTGTGAGCATCCTCAGCTACTCCCTGCGGTGCAACGAGTTATGAATTTAGCTATTTCTGTGCCCTTCTTTTACAACAAGAGGAGCGATGCATACACATCCTCTAAATATCTTCATAAGATTGTTGAATGTCTCTTTGTTACTCCCATTCCCATATAGACCATAGTTTATCAGCTACCAGCAATGTGGCCATATGTCTATGTACTTTTATGATGTCGGTGGCTATGTACCACCTGTAATAATTCTTATGCGTGTATACTGCACGTACATTGGTAAACAATTAAAAGTAAATAAAAATACCATGCTCAAAAGTGTATAACCATTTCTGATGTGGCTAAAGAATTCGTGCAAGATGGTTTACATGGGTCATTGGAGATTCCTCGGGTTAACATAAGTGTTAGGAAAAGCTTTAATAGTAAGAGTGAGCGAGGTACAACTCATTCGAATTTGTCAGAAATTGAGGTATATAACATTGTTATTGGTATTTGTTACGATCACAGATAAGTTCACAAGCGCCCAGTTATCATTGTAGCAATTCACCTCAGAGTATTCCAAAGATATTGAATCTTAGGGAACTTGTGTGTATAATCTAAGAAGCCGGATTCAACCAAGAACAACAACTAATGGCAGGCTTAGGTTAGAGAGGATTCCTATGGATTAATTAACTATACCAAATTAAGGTAAAACTCTATTGATTGCTTCGGGCGCCGGATCTCCCTTGATCTGCCGAGTTAAACCGACCTGCCGATCGAATTTCGCTCCCATCTACCGTAGTAATTGGCGTTTAACCAAAGCAGAAGATAACATCAGAGAGTATCAAAGCTATAAATTAGTCATTTGCCTAAATCATGCCACCGCCATTGAATCGAATAACCGATGGCAACATCGCAACAAGGACGCTGCACCAACCGGTAACCTCCAATGCGACACCGTTAAGAACATTTCAACATTTGGGATGTCACCATCGATAATTTGGATACCCAGAACAGGGATTTAACTTGGAATGTCCACCCGTGGAACAAGTGAGGAAGTGGGTGTTGGGACATCACATCCAGTAAGGTGTGTGGGGCCCATGTTTATCACCATTGTATGTCCTTGAGAAGCCCACGATGATGATGCTGGAGTGGCCCATGATGATGATGGCGTCTACTGACCAAGAGCGGCAACACAGAAGCTCGGCTGCCAGAAAGGTTAATGGAAGATGGGCTAGAGGGTTATTAGCCCTCCTGCGGCATTTTAACCATTGCCACACATATTTCTCCCGCCGTCAGTTCTCGTTGCAACCACGTTCATCACAATCATTGTCACGCCCTACAGACCAGGCCCAACCAGATCCAGATTTAGACAATGTGGCCCTCCTATCCTGCCGCTTCATCATCCATAGTTGCAGGGTACCCCATCGCAGCCATCATTCAGGAGTTGAGGTGAGCCAATATACCACAATGCCGCAGCCGGATCTATTCTCGGAGACCCAGATATTTGGACTCCCCACGCACCTATCCCTACCTACAAGTGCCCACCACCGCTCCGCAGCATGGCACCACTCCCACAAAGCCGCTGCCACCTCAAATCACGGCCGTGCTTGAATGCCTTGTGCTACCATGGAGATTGCCTTGCTGCCGGCGGGCCTCTGATGGCTCGTACAGGCGGCGGCGAGGCAAGGAGGGAGAGGGGAGGTTGGTTGGTGGCTAGGGTTTGAAGTAGGTGTATATATCTCTAACGTCCAACACAACATCCCGTATGTTATAGTTAGGTCGTCAACATTTTATCCATAAATTGTAGTTCTCTCAACTATTTGGAAGATCGTTTGATCCTACAGTATCGTCGATGAACAACGTGCCTAGACAGCTTTAATTTTTAATCCACATAGCTCCACATGGAACCCAACCACAACCTACATCTACTCTTTGATCTGGAAACTGGAATTCTAGCGAGTACCTTCTCTTCTCCTTGTCTAACTCCAAGTTGATAGTCTGCGTCACCCTCCGCCTGCGGAGAGTGTCGGGCATGGCTGATATTTCTGGTTCTTCCTTGCTAGTGGAGCCACAGTCTGTCACGTCCCTACATGTATATATGTGGAAACGAGCTCATCTAGCTACATCGTTGTCAAAATCGAGAAAATTGCACTATTGGGACTGCAAACATGGGGGCTTCGCTATTTTGACACTCTAAGTAAATGACAAATGGGCTCATCTGTGTCTATGAAATGTGGGTCCAGTGTCCTTATAGCAAAGGTTAATGTTTGCAATGTCATAATTGCAAATCCACCGTCAAAATGAAGTGTACAAAATACAGACTAGTCTTTTTGTAGGCCTCAACACAGGGATGTCCTCATCTGAAGGTCAGTGTATGAATGTGGTCAAAAGTGTCAAAAGTGTTAATCAAAAGTAGTTACTTCCTCCGTTTCTGGTTATAAGACTTTCTAGCATTGCCCACATTCTTATAGATGCTAATAAATCTAGACAGATAGCATCTATATGTAGATGATGTAGTCGTCAAGACTAAGCAGAAGGATGATTTAATCTCAACTCAAATTGGCCGCAACATCGAAGCTTACGTAGATGATGTAGTCGTCAAGACTAAGTAGAAGGATGATTTAATCTCGGACCTAGAAGAAACCTTCGCGAGCATCCGTGCTTTCAGGATGAAACTAAACCCTGAAAAATGCACCTTCGGAGTACCGTCAGGGAAGCTGCTTGGTTTTATGGTGTCTCATAGAGGCATACAAGCCAACCCGGAGAAAGTCACCGCTATCCTCAACATGAAACCGCCGAGCTCCCAGAAAGACGTCCAGAAGCTGACTGGATGCATGGCGGTGCTCAGCCGATTCGTCTCACGACTTGGCGAGCGGGGGATGCCCTTCTTCAAGTTATTAAAGAAAACAGACAATTTCCAGTGGGGATCTGAAGCACAGAAGGCCTTCGAAGACTTCAAGAAACTTCTCACCGAGCCACCAGTCTTAGCCTCACCACACCCACAGGAGCCGCTGCTACTATATGTATCAGCCACCTCCTAGGTTGTGAGTACAGTCTTGGTTGTTGAGCGTGAGGAAGAAGGCCACGTCCAGAAAGTCCAGTGACCAATCTACTTCGTCAGCGAGGTCCTAGCCGACTCCAAGACGAGGTATCCTCAGGTTCAGAAGTTGTTATACGGTATCTTGATCACCGTTAGGAAATTATCCCATTACTTCCAAGGCCACTCGGTCACGGTGGTCACATCGTTCCCGCTCGGCGATATACTGCATAATCGTGAAGCAAATGGACGGATTGCCAAATGGGCCTTAGAATTGATGTCTTTGGACATATCCTTCAAGCCCCGAACCTCAATCAAGTCCCAAGCATTAGCAGATTTTGTCTCCGAGTGTACCGAGTGCCAGGAGGATACCCCCGGAGAAAAGATGGAGCACTAGACCATGCATTTTGACGGATCAAAAAGGCTTTCGGGCACTGGAGCGGGAGTGGTCCTAATTTCCCCAACTGGAGAAAGATTAAGTTATGTGCTTTGGATACATTTTTCGGCATCTCACAACGTCGCAGAGTATGAGGCGCTCCTTCATGGACTACAGATCGCAATCTCCCTGGGGATCAAGCGTCTAATAGTTCGTGGAGATTCACAACTTGTCGTCAACCAAGTTATGAAAGAGTGGTCCTGCCTCGACGACAACATGACGGCATACCGACAGGAGGTACGCAAACTGGAAAACAAGTTCGACGGACTCGAGCTTAGTCACGTTCTCCGACACAACAATGAAGCTGCCAACAGACTAGCCAACTTTGGATCCAAGCGCGAGGTGGCCCCCTCCGATGTATTCGTCGAACACCTTTATGAGCCGACTGTACCTCAGAAAGAAACGACTCAAGTTGCGGACACTCAAGACATAGCCATGATTGAAGCCGACTGGAGAGAGCCCCTCATACGATTTTTAACCTCCCAAGAGCTCCCTCAAGATAAAGATAAAGCCAAGCGGATTTCAAGGCGTAGCAGGCTTTATATTATTCATGAAGCCGAGCTATACAAGAAAAGCCCTTCAGGAATTCTACAGCGCTGTGTATCTCTAGAGAAAGGGAGACAACTGCTGAAAGACATACATTCTGGCATATGCGGAAACCATGCCGCCGCACGCACCATTGTCGGCAAAGCTTACCGGCAGGGTTTTTTCTGGCCCACTGCTGTGTCCGATGCCGACAAGATTGTGCGCACGTGCGAGAGTTGCCAATTTTTCGCCAGTCAAATTCATCTACCAGCTCAAGAGTTGCAAACAATCCCGCTGTCCTGGCCGTTTGCGGTTTGGGGGCTCGACATGGTCGGCCCGTTCAAAAAGGCAGTCGGCGGTTACACGCATCTATTTGTAGCCATTGACAAATTCTCCAAATGGATTGAAGCTAAACCGGTTGTGACAATCACGGCAGATAAAGCTAGAGATTTTTTCATCAACATTGTGCATAGGTTTGGAGTGCCTAATCGGATTATCACCGATAATGGCACACAATTCACTAGCGGAATTTTTAAGGACTTTTGCGAAGACTTCGGAATTAAAATTTGCTATGCCTCTGTAGCGCACCCCATGAGCAATGGACAGGTCGAAAGAGCCAATGGCATGATACTTCAAGGGATAAAAGCACGAGTTTTTGACCGACTAAATCCCCATGCCGGAAAATGGGTGGAACAGCTACCATCAGTACTTTGGTCTTTGCGTACTACCCCCAGTCGGGCCACAGGCCAGTCACCTTTTTTTCTAGTCTACGGGGCAGAAGCAATGTTGCCTAGTGAAGTGGAATTCGAATCCTTGCGCTTTCGCAATTTTCGCGAAAAACGCTATGAAGAGGACCGAGTGGATGACCTGCACCGATTGGAAGAAGCCCGCGAAGCAGCTTTGATTCAGTCGGCCCGATATTTACAAGGGTTGCGACGCTATCATAACCGTAACGTCCGATTACGCGCTTTTCTAGTCGGCGACCTGGTTTTGAGGAAAATTCAAACTACACGAGATCGGCACAAGTTATCTCCTTTATGGGAAGGGCCATTCATAATCTCCGAAGTCACTCGGCCAGGTTCCTAGCAACTCAAACGTTGTTGACAACTCTTGGAATATCGAACATCTTCGTCGTTTCTACGCCTAAGTTTATCTCTGTATTTCCCTGTCTTGACTGACAACATCAAGCTTTTTCTCGAGGTTGTCAGTCGGGGGGCTACTATAATAATAATGGAGTATGATCTTTATCAATTCAATTTGCTTACTCGGTCTATCATTGCCTTGCTCGTTTTTTCTACTTAGTTTACGAGGACTGAAA